GAAAGAGAGAGAGAGAGAGAGAGAGAGTGCTGTAATGGTGAAGAACCAAACTCTTAAACCAGCAATGGTTTTTGGAAAGGAAAATGTTTGGTGGTCACAAATTTTGTGGCTTAAATGGCTCGAAAATGTCAAAATGACATCGTTTTGGCATTTTCGGAGTTGTTTTGTACCCAAAACGACGTCGTTTTGGCATTTTCGGGCCATTTGAGCCACAAAATTTGTGGCCACCAATCATTGCCCTTTTGAAAAATGTTACAAGCTTTAAACTTTTTATTAAATAAATAATTAAATGTTTTATTTGTGCGAACTTTATACTCATATGAAATTTTTAATCATTTAATTGATAAAAAATTTAATATCTCTACCATTATCCGTAATTTTAAGGTTCAAATTGGGGCAAGCATCGTAAAAATATTCTATTATAAGAGGCCAACTTTTTGTTTGGTTTAATTTTGAAATCGCGATTCTAATCAAAAGATTTTTAAAAAAATTTTAAAATTCTTTAATTGATAAAAAATTTAATATCTCTACCATTATCCGTAATTTTAAGGTTCAAATTGGGGCAAGCATCGTAAAAATATTCTATTATAAGAGGCCAACTTTTTGTTTGGTTTAATTTTGAAATCGCGATTCTAATCAAAAGATTTTTAAAAAAAATTTAAAATTTATAACTAAACATACAATTCAAAACTAAATTCAAAAATTATTTTTAAAACTCAAAATTAAACAATATTTTTTTAAAAATTCAAAAAAATATTATTTTATTTTAGTTTTTTAAATTATTTTTAAATCATCATTTAAACTTATGATTTGAGTGTGAAGTCATATTTTGAGTTATGAGTTTTAAATTGAGTTTTGAAAAGAGAAAATTTGTTTGGTTATGAAATGTATTTTGAAATTTTTTGAATTTATTTTTTCTAAATATTTAAACATTTGTGTGCTATATTTTTTTAAGTATTTTAAATATTTTAAAAATATTTTTTTATTTTAAATATTTTTTGAAATATTTTAAATTTTTTTACTTTTTTTTAAATATTTAATTTTTTTAAATTTAAAAAAAATGGATCATTATATATATTTAAATCATAACAAATTATTTGTTCAATACTTACAAAAATTATTTTTTGAAAAAATTAAAAAATATATATAAAAAATTCTTCAAAAATAAAAATGAACAAAACATTTTTTGAAAAAAAATATAAAATATAAAATAATTTTGAAGAACAATATAAACATATTTCTTTGAAATTTTTTTTAATAGAATTTTAAAAAGAGTTGATTATTAGTTTTGAAAAAAGTTTTTGAATTGAGTTTTAAGTTATGTATTTTGTTATTAGTTTTGAAAATAATTTTTGAATTGAGTTTTGAATTGTATGTTTAGTTATGATTTGAGTGTGGAGTTATGTTTTGAGTTTAAAATATTTAAATATTTAAATAAAAATTATATATTTAAAATAAAATTTAAAATTTTCTTAAATATTTTTAAATATTTAAAAAAATAAATCCAAAATTTTTTAAAATACAATTCAAGATTTAAAAATTCAAATCTCAAAACTCAAAATACAACTCAATTTTTTTTGCCAAATCAAAACTCTTTTTAAAATTCAAAATTCAAAATTATTTTCAAAATTCACAATCAAACAAATTTTCTTTTTTCAAATCACAATTCAGAACTTCACAGTCAAATTATAATTTTAAAACTAAACCAAATGACTCCAACCAACTTTTTTTAATCAACCAAAAAAGAAATTTTTATTAATGAACCAAAGACATCAATTAAGGTGAAGAAGGTGTAAAATTGCATCATAACAAATCCGACTCATCCCAACTAAGGGTGGCAAATGGGTGAAAAATACTCTTCAACTTTCAAAAAATTAGGGGTGGCAAATGAGTGTGTTTGAGATGGGTCAATTCAAGTTACGGCTTTGGGCAACCCCACCCAAATCTGCCCTTAATCGAGTTGGTTAGTTTACACAATTTTTATGGTCACAATAGCTCAAAACTGTCAAAACGACGTCGTTTTGGCATGTTTTACACCCAAAACGACATCGTTTTAACAGTTTTGAGTCATTGTGGCCAAAAAAATTGTGGCCTTCAAACATTTTCCAATTGGTTATAGGGTGCAATTTGTTCAAAATGGTAAGAAATGGATGTTTGGTTGCATGGGTAAGTTATTCAGATTTCAAAATGACTGTTTTGCCCATCAAATCAAGTTGTTACCAATTTGTACAATTATCTCCAATTGAACCATATAAACTAAAATAAAAAAAACTTTTAAGTCTTAAATAGATGAAATTGATAATTTAAGAATCAAACGAAAAAAATAACGATAGTTCAGGGATAAAATGAAATTAACCTTTTTGAAAATATATATGCTTATAATGTGAAGTTGTAAAGGCCCCTGTGAAGGTTAACACTTTTTTGGAGTATTTGAAGCACAAAATTGAAATCAAATTTGCAGAAATGGACCAAAGTACAGTAAATAAATAGGATTTTTGGGCCATCATTACCAACAATCATCAAATCATCAATATGATGTTATCTTCTTCTCCCACCCCGAACCAGTAAATGCATATGGGGAATTAGATATACCCGAACATGTACGCCGCAGCACCCATTGTAAATACTATTTTAACAATGAGGCTTTGGCTAGTAGACAACAACACTGCACATTTGACAATTTCCAATGAGGTCCCCCTGCCTGCCAACAGGGAAATTTTCCACACCCTGAAGTCCGAGAAGGTATTGGGTGGTCTTGACTATTGCTCCACACCATTCAAGATTGGACACTCGTTCATTTGTCTCCACAAAAAGACACCAAAGTGGTAGGATTCACTATTTTAACTAAGTAAATGCAATTTAGAGCACCATCTGCCCCTGGAACAAAAAGTATAATTTCTCCTGAAGTCCACAGGACAGGAGAGGCTATGTACAGCTATCAAATCCACACGTGTTCTGCTTGCGTATGCACATTAAACTATGGATTATCGGTTTTTATTTATCAATCACTGACCAAATCATCCTTGAATTCAATTTGTCTTTGAGTTGGGGTGAAAGGAATCTTCTACAGCCAGACAATTAAAAGCTGGCATGCTTCCCAACCTCCACCTTTGAGAAAAAAACTGTTTCAAGGTTTCTTCACTCTGCCCAGATCGATCCTTCCCCGGCCGTGCCATTGCAATGAGCCATTAGTGTGCTATATATACTCCTTAAATTGGCCCAAACCATAGAAACTGATTCATAAATCCACTTTTCCATACAGATTGAACACCCAAAAAAGAAGGTGATTTCATTTAAGTTTCCACCATGAACAAGAAGATCGGTGGTGTTGCTGCTGCGGCAATCAGTGAAACCTTCAGAAGCGGAAGGCCTCTGCCAAAAAGAGGGCAGATAAAGTCAAGGATGGCAGCCTGTGCTTTCTGTTCTATTGTTTCTGTGCTCTCAAGAGCCTCTTCACACGGCCAACACTCCGGTGGGAAAAGCTATCTTAGGGAGGCTAAACACATCAGAGATCACTAGTTTGTATCAAGAAAACTTTTTGATAGTTACATTGCAATTTCTCTTCTTTTTTCTCTTGTAATATTTGTTTATAATTTTGAATTCAGTCAGGAAGATTATAGTGGCGCAGAACTTTTATTTAAATATATATATATATATATATTTCCTTGGAAAAACATAACATAGCCATTTTGAGTTGCGTAATTTCCATGGTATGTGGTGATCACTGGCCACTTAAGAAACCTCTTTTCTACCACTCTGCTTTAATCTAATTCAAGATAAAGATACAAATGTTAATTCCAAAAACACAATGTATTCTCAATACAGTACAACAAATTTCATCTAGAGAAAACCCCCGTGTCATGTTTTCAGAGTAAAATGACAATTTTTTGAACTGATACAGGATACACTATCTTAACAATTTCAGTAAATAATAATTCCTATTTATTGAACTGATGTTGCACCCACAACTAAATCAGGAAATAAGAGCATGATAATAGCTACCTAACTAAATTGGAATAACCTTGGGTAAACACAAAAACACTTCAGAGAAAATTACATTTATGATAGTCTGAAAAACAAAGTTGATGTTGAAATGGAACAACTAGTAATTTGTTTGGCAATGAAGCCGCATACGTCATCAAGGAATAAAGGAACAAAGCTGGTAAAAAGAAAATGGATAGTATATCTCTTATACCTGGTAGTAAAATATTTGGATGATTGGAATACTGTATCTCAATATTTCTTCTTCTTTTCTTTGTTTTTGTTTTTCTATGGGTGAATCTAGCATGATTCACAATTCGATTAACGTTTACGATTTAAGTGATTCTTGAAACTGTTAGATCTAATGGATTTTGACCCTTTTTACCTCATGAAAATGCTACAATACAACTTCTAAGAGTGAAAATGTTAGATCTAGGTCGTTTTATTTTCTTTCATATATATATATATATATAGAATTGTTTAACCTTGTTTTTTATGACTTGTGCCAAATCTTACCACGTTTCTCAATATGATTCAATTCTGTTTCAAAAAATTAGGATTTGAAATTCACGACACAAACTACATAACTAGTAAAATATTATATGCAAAACTAAGAGATCAACATATCAAAAAGGAAAACCACATACTAATAAGCTGTTTTTTCAGCTTCTTCCACCATAGGATCCCCTGCTTCACCAAACCTGTGAACCCAAGCTATGAATAACAAAAACCATTAGAAAATGCTCAATAAAGTTCAACCTCTCCCTTCATCCGCTGGAGTTACCTTCATAAGCTGCTGGAGTCATTATCGTTTTGACACCAGAAGTAACTTGCAATATGACATGATAAAAGGGGTCCAGAAACCCAATTTGATATGGAATATATGTAAACTTTTATGGCTCCCAAAACACACAATCCAAGGTGTATTTTATGCTTTTCATATGTCAGACATCAAGAAGAAATTCAATCACTTCAACTCATGATGTGGTAATGTCAATGTGTATTTTGAGCTCCATAGTTTATGGGTCCAATGAGATGACGCTATCTTGCTCTGAGTCGGGCAGTAGAATCATCTGCTTGCTCAAATTTCGCAGCATCATACAAACTTCTTTACTATCAGGATGCAATGCCTCACCAGCAATGAAGTAGCGGATTGATCCTCTAACTTGAATCCAACTAGAACCAGGTTCCTTATAGATTATTCTTTGTTTCATTTCCTTTCTCAGGCTTCCAACAGCATTCCACATACCAGCAGAGGCATAGAGATTCGAGAGAAGAATATAAGCAGAGTCATTCTCGGGCTGTAACTGAAGAAGTTCTCTCGCAGCAACTTTTCCTAGTTCAACATTTCCGTGGATATTACACGCTGATAAAAGAATCTGCCATATTTGAGCATCGGGGCAAATAGGCATTTGACCAATGATCCTCTTTGCCTCTTCTACAAGTCCAACTCGACCAAGCACATCAACCACACAAGCGTAGTGTTCTAAACATGGGATCACCCCATGAAATTCAAACATAGAGTTTAGGTGAGATTGTGCTTCATTCACTAACCCTGCATGGCAACATGAACTGAGAACTCCTAGGTATGTTATCTCATCAGGTTTCATTCCCAATTCAAGCATTTTCATGAATAGATCAAAAACTTCATGGAAGCAACCGCGTTGAGCATATCCCGTCAACATGGCATTCCAAGCAGCCAAATTGTCCTTAGATATAACCCTAAAAGCTTTTTCTGCATCAGCTATGCTACCACACTTACAGTAAGCATCGATTGCAGCAGTTTCAACAAATATGTCATGATCAACTCCAAATTTAAAAGCCAGACAATGAATTGTTCTTCCTAGTTCCAGATCTGTCAACACGCCACAAGCTTTGAGAACTATGCTAAAAATTACACTGTCAATTTCAAGGGACAAGCTTTGTGCCTCCTGGAACAATTTCAGGGCATCAAAATGATAATTGGAATGGACAAATGTTGATGCCATGGCATTAAGTAGTAAAACGTTCAGTTCATCAATCTCTGCGAACACCCTCTTTGATTCATCAATTCCATTGCATTTACCATATGATGTTATTAAACTAGACAACATGGAATCATCTGACTCAAATCCAAGTTTAATTATTAGACAATGTATTTGCATTGACTGGTTTGTAGAACATGAGTTGGACACAACGTCAAGAATGCTAGCAAGAGTATATTTATTAGGCTGTATCAAGAAATCATGCATCTGCGAAAACATTTCAATGGCCTCACAAAAAATCCCATTCTCAGAATAACCAGCTATCAGAGAATTCCAAGAAACAGAATCTCGACAAATCATCTCATCAAAGACACACTTGGCAAAACCCATCAATCCACATTTCCCATACATAGAAATTATTGCATTGCAAACAGAAACAACAAGCAAATGTCCAGCCTTGTAACAAAGGGCATGAATTTGCTTTCCAAGATTCAGCAACTTTGGACCTGGAATGACAGACAGAACATTACTCAACGTATACTCATTTACTTCATAACCTCTCGAGCGACAAATTTCAAAATTTTCAAAAGCTTCTACAGCATCATAGGCTGAACCAATTCGCCCCGTCCAAGAAACAACATCTGGTTGAGGAATTTCATCAAACACTTTCACAGCATCAGATTTTCTTCCACACCTAGAATACAAATTCATCATTGCATTGTTCAAATGAGTCGAACAGCCACGTAAAAACCCCATCTTTAGACTGAATCCATGAATCTGCTCACCTTCTTTGACCTCAAACAGCGCACCAAGCACACTAGTCAAGCTAAACTCATTCAATTCCAAACCCAAACCCCTCATACCCATAAAAATCTCTCTACCCTTATCAAACAATCCATTCCAAACAAACCCATTAATCATAGCCGTCCAAACCACAGAATCCAAAACCAAGCACTCCTCAAAACACTTCTCAGCTCCATTAACACACCCAGATTTCGAATAGTTCTCGACGAGCCCACTGACCAAGAACACGCCCGAGACCAAACCCATTTTGATGGAAACTCCATGAGCAATCTCATTGCGCTCCAAATCATCACAGGCTTTGATCAAAGAACTAAGTGTATAGACATCCGGGTTCAGACCCAATTGCCTCAACCCATTGAAGAGCTCGAAAACAGGGTCGAATCGGCTAAAACGGGCAAACCCAGAAATAAGAGAGTTGTAGACGACGGTGTCGGGTTGGGGGGTGTCACGGAGGAGTTGGGTGGCGCGTGAGAAGTCGCCGGAGAGGGAGAAGTGGGTGATGAGAGAGGTGGAGAGGAATGGATCTAGAATGAAGCCTGATTGGAGGAAGAGGGCGTAGAGTGTGTCGGTGAGAAGTGGGTTGTGAAGAGAGATTGAAGATTTGAGGGCTTGTGGGTAGAGGTTTTGGAGCAGTAGGTTCTTGAGAGAGTGGAGAGAGGAAGAGTTGCTGAGCCTCTTCATACATGATGATGGCTAGCTTGGGTTCATGTGAGATGTTTTTGAATGTGAGGCTTGGGGGTTTATACAAGTTTCAGGTTTTTGCCAAGTGGATTGGTTTGGGGTGTACTAAAAAAGTGTATTTTTTGTCTTTTTATGAAAAGATGTGCAGAAAAGCAGAGAGGTGATGTGATGGAAAAAAGATAAAAAGATAAAAAGATGGATTATATAGTAGATGACAAACAAGGCTTTTAGATGACGAAATAAATTAAAAAAAACAATTCTTTTCAAACGAAAGCTTAGCTACATTAGCTAGGTAATAGTGAATGGAATCATATTTCATTAAAATATTAGATTATAAAAATAATGACAAACACATTAGGAATAAAATCATCTTCTATTATTTTAAGAAATTAATCAGTCTATATAAAAGTTTAAAAAATTACAATTCTATTTCATTTTATTTTATTTGAATGAATTAAATAAAAGAATAAAAGTAATACTCCTTGTTATGTATTTGGAATTGGCATTATTGGCCTCTTTTTGTTGATTTTTATTTTTATTTCTTATTTTTTTTGAATTTTTATTTAATTCTATCTAATTAGGTAGATAAGAAAAGTTTTTTAAAAATAAATTTAAAAATAAATTTTTTTATTTTATTTGTCTTTAGAGAATTTTTTTAGAATTTTTCCAAAAGAATAAAAATAAATTTTAAAATTTTTCTATATTAGAGGATTTGCCTCTCTCCTTGCCGAAGAAACTGAACATTTCCCCTGCACACCTGTCTCCACCAAGTAAACCATCAGTAACACCCAAGTCTTAAGGGCGGTCAAAAATGGGGTGTCTACAGGCGCTCGGCCCAAAAAATCAATTTTAAATTTTATTTGACCAAAGATTCAGGTGGTGAATTAGTTTGTCCAAAAGGATAAGTTTAGGTAAAATTATCAAAATATCCATATATATTTTGCATAACTGTTTGTTTATTCACAAACCAAACCGGTTTTCACTCTCTCTCTCTCTCCCTCCCTCCCTCCCTCTCTCCCTCCCCAGAAGGACAAGTTTAGGTAAAATTATCAAAATATCCATATATATTTTGCATAACTATTTGTTTATTCACAAACCAAACCAGTTTTCACACACACACACACACACACACACACACACACACACACACACACTCTCTCTCTCTCTCTCTCTCTCTCTCTTATCTTCTTCAAAGTTTCCATCAGTCTCTCTCCCTCCGTCGCCGACCGTCGATCTCTTCTCTTCCGTCGCCACGCCGTCACACCTCTTAAATTCGATCGATCTTCACCGTTATGTTGTCTCGATCTTCGCCTCCTAGATCGAAATCTTAGATCCACTCATTTTTGTTGGCACGTCGTCACCCCTTTTAGCTCCATTGCGTCATCACGTCTTTGTAGATTTGTCTACCCTAACCTTAGATCTGTCTACTCTAACCCTAGATCTAGACTGCCAAATCTCTTTCTCTCTCTTCCAATCGACATCTTAAACCTTATTTTCTTCTTCTTCTTACTCTATCATCTTCGCTTTCAAATCCACTAGAGACCTCTCTACGTCAATTCCCTCGGCAAAGATGGCAGTGTTTACATTCGTGTACAAGAGCAAGAGCCACCTTACAAGAAAAAAAAAACACTTTTGACGACCACCTTTTTTGAGTTGGTCGTAGATAGTTGACTTTCTGCGACTAACATTTTTTTGGTTGCTAATGAGTTGTGCTTTTGCGACCAACGACATTTTGGTAGCTAATAGGTAATTTTTTGCGACCAAAAAAAAATATGGTCATGAAAAGTAATGGCGTGAGAGGGGAAAAAAATGTGGGATCTCAAAACCTTTGGTGACCAATAAATTGTGGTCACATGAAGGAAAATGCCATATTTTGTATCAAAACTACATAATTTTGAATGTTTCCTAATATTAATTAAATTTGTTACTATTTGAAATAATTATTAATAATCAGTTCAAAAAAAATATTAATAATTAAATAATAAATTATTAAGAACATAATAGTAATTATTTTTTAATAGAATTATTATTTATTGATTAAAATCATAAAATTTCTTAAATTTATTTTTTCATTCAAAATATTAATAAAATTACAAACATAAATAATAAAACTTAAAAAAAAGTATAAATAAAAACCAATTTTTACTACAAAATTTTGTCCCAAATTCAAATTTTTTCTCAATATTTAAAACAAGCCCTCCAAACTTTTGCCTAAATTGAAATTCCCTCCTAAACTTTTGCCTAGACTTCTACTCCCTGGTCCCAAAAAAAAAAAAACAAGAAAAGGGAAAAATAGAGAAAAACTAGCTGGAGGGAGATATGTTCAAAAGAGAGAGAGAGATAGAGAAGACGAAGAAGAGACCACGAAGAGAGATGGAGGGAAGAGTAGTTCTTCGGAGCAACAGCCATTGCTTCACTCATAATGGCCATTGCGTCACTCGAGTAGTCCTATGGAGTTACCTCCTTCGCAGCCCCGTTTGTCTTCGCTTCTCCCTCCGATCGACGAAGACCACCGAACGAGGCAAACGGAGTCGTCTCACATCTCCCTCTGGCCAGAACTCTCACACCTCTCCCTCCTACTGCCCAATTTCAAGTGCATGTTCAGATACTAGGGTTTCGAGTTTTGATTTGAGGATTTTCAATTTGAAAATTAGGGTTTAGGGTTTTTCAATTTTAAAATTTGGGGCTTTTCAATTTGGTGTTTGGTGTTTGACTTGGATGCTTGTTCTGAATGTTTAAATGTGACTTAATAATGTTAATTTACCAAGTCTTTTAACTTCAATTATTTTTTGTATTGATTTTGTTATTTATTTTTGATTTTTTTGATGGCTTCTATTTTGGTGTCACTGGTATGTATCTACGAAGGTTTCAATTGTTGTTAAGACTCAGTAGTACTTCAAGAAAGAAAACACAAGAATTGTTGATGTCCAATTTAATTGCTTTATTTACGTTTATGTTATGAATTCTTACAAACATGTTATTGATTGCTTTAACCAAACACTGGTTTTGTGTTTGTGATACTATATATTTGATTTGGTTTTATCTTTTTGACTGGATTGCTTTATCAATTTTGTTTTTCTTTAATTTTCTTAATAAGCTCACATTAGAAAGCTTCAGAAAGAAGTGAAACTCCATAAAAAATCCATTATTGTTTGGTTGTATCACTTGAAACAATGTTGCTCATTGTTATTTAAAGAGATTTGATAACGAAGCAAGTTACTATTTGTTTCAGTTGGTTGGCTGTCTAACTTGATTATACATCTCTAGGGAATTATGTCAAATAAACATAATTACATGTTTACATTAGATTTGGTTGTTGAGTGACTACGGTAATTAACTTTGTTATATGGGTAAGGAAAAGATGTCACTTGTTGCACATTATTAATATAAGACATCCCTCCCATCTGGAATTCTTATAAAAAAAATTTGCTATTTGTTTATGTATTTTGTGCTTGTGATTGTGCTTTGGTTAGGGCTTGCTCTTGAAATTCCTTAGGATTTGTACCACTTGATTATGAAGGTTGTTGCAATTAGGAAGTATCTGGAGATGAACAGGAATGATAAGGATTCTAAGTTTAGGCTGATTCTCGTCGAGAGTACGATTCATAGGCTCGCTCACTACTACAAGAAAACTAAGAAGCTCCCTCTCGTCTGGAAATAGTAAGCTTCATGTCCTCATTTGTTGGCTCTTGAAAAAAAAATGAGAAAAAAGAGAGATTGCATTTTTTGGGAGTACTTTTTTTTTTCTCTTAATGTTTTCTTCTACTCACTCTTCAATTATTGTTTCACTTAGATCTCTACTTTTGCTCTGTTTTTTTTTTCTTCATAAATGCAGGTTTGAAGCGATGTAGTAAGAATTGTAGGCTTAGCAGGCTCGATCCTGAGATTTTCGGGGTCCAAAGCCGATAATCAACTACTAAATTTCCGGGGCCCTTCACATTTTTTTTTATTGAATGAAAAAAAAAATTAAGGTAAAGGACAAAAGATTTGTATTAAAATCACAAAAAATACTTAGCATTACATTGCAACAACTAATAAGTATCACTTGATCCTCGCTCTTCTTGCATTTTAAGAAACAAATAAATCAATCATACTTGCATAATTTAGTTTTTTTGCAAAATCATTTCAATGGATAATAATGCTAATCCATTCAATCTTTCTTGTGACATCATAATGGTGCTCCTGTTAAAGTTGCAAAGTTGTATATAAAAAAATAATAATAATAATACTAATTAAAGTGCGGGCGGTTTTTGCGGGTTGCGGGTTTAAACCGCGACCCGCCCGCAACCCGCAAATTTGTCATATTTCAAACCGCATCCGCCCGCATTATGTTTGCGAAACCGCCCATTTATATGCGGATTGGGCGGTTTGAGCGGTTCGGATAAACCGTTGCCCACCCCTACCATGTTTTAAAAATTCTTCAAGGTTCACACACCTCGCCTTCAACGATTCATCGCTGCACTTTTTCAAGTCAAACAAAAAGCCAAAGTTTGCCTCATATACTTTGAATTGTTCGAACCTAATTTTGAGTGAACAAATGGCTTGATCAACAAAATAAAGGAAGTAACCAACTCTAAGGGTGTGTTTGGTAACGTTTACATTTTCAGTTTATATTTACAAAAATTTTATAAACTGGTTTTTGTATATTTTTTGTTTATTTTTAGAAAAACATAAACTACAAACGTGTTTGGTAATTGACAAAATGTTTTAAAAAAAATCTAAATATAAAAAAGAGTGAGAAATGACAAGTGGTGGCAAGTGGCGGCAAGTGGCGGCGAACGACGGTGGTGAAAAGTGGTGACGGTGGATGGTGGGTAGCTGGTGGTGGTGGGTAGTGGCGAGTGGGTGGTGGTGGTGGTGGTTGGGTGGGTGATGGTGGCGGGTGGTGGTGGTGGTGAGGGGTGGTTGGTGGTGGTGGCAGGTGGGTGGCGGAGGTGGTGGCGGGTGGTGGCTAGTGTTGGGTGGAGTTTGATGTGGTGGAGTGGTAGCGAAGGGGTGGTGGTGGTGGCGGCGGGTGGGTGGCGGATGACGGGTGATGGTGGTGGGTGGATGGGTGTGTGACGGTAGCGGATGGTAGCGAGTGGGTAGTGGTGGTGGTAGGTGGATGGCGGATGGGTGGTGAGTAGTGGGTGGTGGCGGCGGGTGGGTGGTGGTAGGTGGTGGATGGTGGTGGCAGGTGGGTGGTGAATGGTGGTGACAAGAAGATGGCGGGCGGTGGTGGCGGGCAGTGGATGGTAGTGGCGGGTGGGGAGTGGTGGCGGGTGGATGGCAGGTGGGTGGTGGGTGGTGGTGGTGGTGGTGGCGGTGGCGAGAGGTGGGTGGTGGTGGCGAATGGGTAGCAGGTGGGTGGTGAGTGGTGGTGGCGGGTGGTGGTGGGGAGTGGGTGGTGGGTGGTGGTGGCGGAAGACAGTGATGGAAAATGGTGGTGGGTGGTGGCTAGTGTTGGGTGGCAAAAAAAAAAAAAAATTGAAAACTCAAAATGGAAACACATTTTTGGTGTTTTCATTTTTTGGCCAAATTTATAAACTGAGACCACTGATTTATAAATCAAAAATTTTACCAAACAAGTTTTTATTTGAGTTTTTTAAATTTTTGTAAATATAAACAGAAAATTGAAAACGTATTACCAAACGGCACCTAAATGATTCTTCAGCCGACTAGGTCACCTCTTCGCTAACATTTTCATCAAATTGTTTCTTTCTAGAAATGATGAGCTTTTCAACAAATGTAGGTTCAATTCCCAATTCACTTGCCATTTCTTTAGCTTCAACCATAGCCTCCATGAAACCAACTTCTCTATATATTGCAACATACTTAACAAGCCCATCTAGGTGCTTTACAGCAACTGCTATATCTATATCTTCACTTTGAAGAATCTTGCTAACAGAGTTCACATGAAACAACAAATTGTACCAAATTACAATACTAAACAAGAACTCAAAAGTCTCAAGTTCATGAGTTAGTAGGGATTTAGCTTCACTTTTTGCAATCGAATCTGTGGTAGGATTGTTGTACAAGTCAACTAAAGCATCTCTTATTTTTGAAGCATAGTATCTTAGTGGTTTAACACTTTCAATGTGACTTTCCCAACGCGTTTGCGACAACGACATAACCGTGAGGCCTTCCTTTAGATTATCCTTTAAAATTGCCCAACGTTGAACGGAAGATGAAAACAATACATATATGCGTTGTACCACACCAAAAAAAGTTTTTGCTTTAGAGCAAGAATTGGCCATATCACAAAACACAAGGTTAAGACTATGACAACCACACAGCGTGTAAAATGCTCTAGGATTTACTTGAAGTACTCTTGTTTAAACACCTTTGTTTTTGCCTTTCATGTTAGAGCCATTGTCATATCCTTGCCCTCTTAAGTCACCAATATCAAGTTGAAGGTTAACTAATGTTTCTTGAAGTTTATCAAAACGTCTCATCCCCGATGTATCATCCACATTCAAGAATTTCAAAAAAAACTCTTCCACTTTAATTGGACTTGTTAAAACATCCACGCATCGTACAACAAGAGACATTTGTTCTTGATGGCTTATATCCGGTGTACAATCAAGTATGGCCGAAAAGTATTTTGCTAGTTTGATTATCGACAAAATTGTACTTTTGACTTCCCCGGCCAACATTTGTATCACCTCATTTTCAATTTTGTGACTCAAATAATGGTAATGAATCTCACATTTTTCTATCTGCCGCAAGTGTTGTTCCATCGTTGGATCGAACTCGCCAATCATTTCAATTATGCTTGAAAAAAGTCCATTGCTCTCTTCATAAATCTTCTCACGGTTTCCACGAAAAGGCAAATTATTCTTGGCAAGTGTTTTCACAACTGCAATTATCATCAATAAAACCCGTCTCAAGTGCTTGTATACTGTTAACTTGTTCTTGTATACTTTTATCTATTATTTGATGTTTTCCCAATCTTTCCTCCAACTCAATCCATTTGCTCATGCAAGTAATGTGCTTGTTACCACTTTCATGGCCTTTAAGTCTCTCACCAATATTTCTCCAGCCTTTAAATCCTTCAGTAGCCAATTGAGTCTTATTTCCCTCTTGCTTAAACAACTTACAACAAAAGCAAAATACTCTATCCAAAACTTCTGAGTATATCAGCCATGTCCTATCAAATTTTTCTCCATTTGGTAAATGCCGAATGTAATGAACAGGTGAGAAATGCCTATGCTTAGAAGAATCATCCTTAGGGAAGTTGAACTCATAATTTCTTCTCACAGGACCTCTTTCGACTAAAAAATCTCGTAAATTCTAATCAATTATTCTCCAAGTCCCTGGATCATCTATATTTGAATGCTCACATTCCGTATTCATCTCATCATCTTGATTAGCTTATGTACTCCCAAATTTTTCATTTCCTTCTTCATCTACCAAACTTTCATTCTCATTATTCACCAACGTTTCAAATTCTTTACTATTCAAGTCTTCAATTGATTGTTCTGTTTGTTTGTCACTCGTAAAGAATTTATCAATAGCTCATCTTTGACACTCAACTAATTTTTCGACTCTTTGCTTATTTTTCCTTTTTGCGAATCTAGACGGATAATTTCTTTTAAAAGTCATGATGAGCTGAGATCAAAATATTTTTTTGGATCAAAATTCAAAACAAAGAGCACCACCACTTAACAAAACACAAAACTTTTAAATTATGTGATGTAAACTATTAAACTTAAACAAATTCTTCTTGATGATGTAAATACCAATATTATAATAGCAATTAATTGTGCAAAAGACAAGACAAATATTTAATTAATGAATAAAAAAATATTTACCTGTGCTTGCTGTGATGAGATCAAAATATTTTATTAGATCAAAATTCAAAACAAGAGCACCACCACTTAGCAAAACACAAAACTTTTAAATTATGTAATGTGAACTATTAAACTTAAATAAATTCTTCTTGATGATGTAAATATAAATATTATAATAGCAATTAATTGTGCAAAAGACAAGATAAATATTTAATAAATTGAATAGAAAAAAAAAATTACCTGTGCTTGCTGCTTCGTTCATGTGTGCTGCTGCTTCATTGAATCCTTACTTTGCTTTGTTGGCTTGGGCTGCTAGTGTGTGCTATCAAACAAATGTAGGGAAGGTTGGATTAAAAGAAGATAGGGTTAGAGGAAGGCTTGGGCTGCTAGTTTGTGCTATCAAACAAAAGGGGGCCTTTCAAACTATTGGGCTGGGCCTTAACCGTTGGCCTTTTAATGGGTCAAAAAAATTAAGTTAGTTCGGGCCTTTTTTTTAATTTTTTTTGGACTTAAAACATACCTAACATATTATACTAACTTATAATAGGAGGGGACGCCTATTTTGGGCCTATTTTGAGGGGCCTTAAGCCATGGCCTTGTGGGCCTATGGCCAGGGCCGAGCCTGAGGCTTAGATGGTTGAGAACTATCGTATTGTGCGGCTCATAGGTAGAATTTTGTCCTTCTTATCTTTCCTTCAATTATTTTTCTTTTTCATCGTCGTTTCTTTTTTTCACATTTACATTTACAGTTTTTTGTGCAAAATAGATCCCTTTTTTCTTTTTCTTTTTTAATCTTTATAGTAAAGGTTAGCAACTGTGGAGCCACATGGGGACTAGGGGGGTCACGTGCCCCCCTTGGATTTTTCAATTTATTTTTTATTTTTTATTTTTACATATGTGAGGGAGATTTCATAATCTGGCTTTAGGCCGTGGTAATGACCAGGCTAAAAAGAGGTCCGAGCGTGTTTGGGCCGAGATAACGTTGGCTGAACTAGAGTAAATTGCTTGGTTGAGGTCCAGGGCCCATTCAGCTGAGATAATTGTCTGTCAACCAAGGCTTATTGTTCACGCATGTAGCTTGGTAGAAAGGTCTCTCACGGACCAGCCTAACCTGTCTGGAGCTCGGCCGTACTGGAATGCTACCGAGCTCGGTTGTGATGGAGCTCGACGAGTGGCACTGTTAGACTCGTTAAGTAGCTCGGTCGAAGGAGGCCAGGGTGATGCCGCCGGGCTGCCGAGTTCCCGTTAATGTTGTCTGACGATTTGGTTAGGTGGTGTTCGCTGGATTTGTGCTGACAGATGAGAGAAAAGCTCCACATGTAAAGAGACTAATGGGTGCAGAGTTGAGCGCATAAAATATTTAAGCATGACTGCGCCCCCCATGCCGATGATGGAACATCATTTGGTGAGATAAACTTACATTCATTCAGCTTCTCTCTCTCTCTCTGGGTGTGTGCTAACTTGACCGTCGGAGGGGTTTTCCGGCCACACACCACCGGGTAGCTCACTGCCGTTATGCTCACAGGTCGATCGGATAGACAAGGAGCTTGGACGAAAGGAGTACAGGCTCCGCGGAATATTTGCGCCCCGTACAATTGGCACCGTCTATGGGAAGTCGACAGACAAAACCTTGTCCTCCAAGCTTCTTTGGTCATCTTTTATGGCGAACCACGACGATATTCCGTTACTCGCCATCGATGGCATCACGCCAAAGTCCGTTCGGTGCAGAGATGGCCCCTCCGCCATTCCAACGATGGCTGATTTGGAGACCTCCGAACAAGGTCTTCCTAAAGATGCGCGAAACGAGCACGCAAGGAGTTCTAGGCGCTCTATCGGTGCAGAAGAGCATCGTCAACAGCGAGATTCATACACTCGGCACCTGGAAGACAAGTTGAGAGACCAAGATACAATCATTAAGAAAATGGCGACGAGGGTGGAGGCCATGAGACGCCAGATGAAGGGAAAGGGCGTCATAAGAGTGAGAAACCATAGTGAGCACACCCACTCTCGCCGTTCTGACAGTCATAATAGACGCCGCACCCCTTCACTCTTCATCACAAGAAGCTTCAGAGCTGAAGACTATGTCACGCCGACAATGACATCTTGTACGCGGGACAGCAGCTACTACCCCTTACGTCCGACGATGGCGTCGGGATATTCACGCTCCAACCGTTTAAAAGACCTAAGGGATGTGTTGAAGGAGCACACTCGCCGGTGGAAAGCACAAAGGATGGCGGTGCAAACAACCATGGAAGAGATCTAAAGAGTTTGGTTTTGGAAGACGTCAGTCAGAAAGCCGAGGAAAAAGGGCAATCGACAATCATTTTGATGGAAAGATTAGAATTCCTTGCCAGGCTGATTTTGCACGACAAGATGAAAGTTGGTGTTTTGTTCAACTTTGGAATTCCTTACCAGGCGAATTTTGCTCGGCGAGAGATTTGTTGATGGTTTTGATCAACTTTAGAGTTCCTTGACGAGCTGATCTTGCTCGCCAAGAAGAAAGTCGCCGAGTTGACCTTGCTCGCCGACCTTGGATTTCCTTACCGAGCTGATCTTGCTCGCCAAGAAGAAAGTCGCGGAGCGGACTTTGCTCCCACTCTTGGAGTTCCTTGCTGAGCTGATCTTGCTCGCCAAGAATGAAGTCGCGGAGCGGACCTTGCTCACCGATTGGAGTTCCTTGCCGAGCTGATCTTGCTCGCCAAGAATGAAGTCGCGGAGCAGACCTTGCTCGCCGAGCTTGGAGTTCCTTGCCGAGCTGATCTTGTTCGCCAAGAAGAAGGTCGCGGAGCGGACCTTGCTCCCGCTCTTAGAGTTCCTTGCCGAGCTAATCTTGCTAGCCAAGAAGAACGTCGCCGAGCTGACCTTGCTCCCCGACCTTGGAGTTCCTTGCCGAGCTGATCTTGCTCGCCAAGAAGGAAGTCGCAGAGCGGACCTTACTCGCCAACCTTGGAGTTCCTTACCGAGCTAATCTTGCTCGCCAAGAAAAAAGTCGCCGAGCTGACCTTGCTCGCCAACCTTGGAGTTCCTTGCTGAGCTGATCTTGCTGGCCAAGAAGGAAGTCGCGGAGCGGACCTTGCTCGCGCGACCTTGGAGTTCCTTGCCGAGCTGATCTTGCTCGCCAAGAAGCAAGTCGCGGAGCGAACCTTGCTCCCGCTCTTGGAGTTCCTTGCTGAGCAGATCTTGCTCACCAAGAAGAAAGTCATCGAACTGACCTTGCTCCCGCTCTTGAAGTTCCTTGTCGAGCTGATCTTGTTTGCCAAGAAGAAATTCGCCGAGCTGACCTTGGACCCGCCCTTCAAGTTCCTTGCCGAGTTGATCTTGCTCGCCAAGAAGAAAGT